AATAAATGGGGTTAACAAGTAAACTTTGTAGTTACATGAAACTGCCAGAAAACCAGCATACCATCTGTTGATAAATATCAGCTCTCCTTTGTCTTTCTTTCCTGCTAACTTCACCCAAATTCATCTCTCCTTAAGGAAAACAACTCAGAAGAGAACCATTCTAGGACCTTAAAAATAGATAATTCCAAGTGAGAAGAGCTTGCCAATTTGATCATCTTGTAGGGCTTGACACAGTCCTTACAGGCAATTATGTTATCTCCAGAATAAAATTGCTCACCAAACTGCTCATGGATATCTGTTTTCAGCTTGCTGGGAGTTTAAAAGTCAAATATGTCTTTTCTTATTTAACAGTCACACAAAAGCACACATAATGGCTTCCCAAAAGATTAAAAAAGAATCAGGCTTTATCAATTTGTCTGGTCAATTCCAGTACACATGGTTTCCTCTGACTTAATTTCTTAAACTCATATTGGTCACATGGGGCTCTAGATCACAGGTTCCTGAAGTTCCTTGAAACCAACTGAATTTCTCAGAAGATTTTTGTTCCAATAAGATGAAGAGGAAGGATAACTCAAAGAAGTAGCTCTATCATGAGGTAGGTTGTGAATCTGGGGAGTGAGGTGTCAGATGCATACCCTGACCGGGAAATGTGTTCTAGAGCCCTTCTCTGGCTCAGCTCAAGTTCAAGTCTGAATCCAAACTAACACTAGACACTGTGTCTGTTGGAAGGATCAGGAAAAGGAGAAAATCATGACCAAGAATGTTCTTGCTTTCTTCATAAATCTCTCTTGGTTTATTAAGAAACAACTTAATTTTTTTTTTTTAGTTGTTGATTGACCTTTATTTACTTATTTATATGTGCTGCTGGGAATCGAACCCAGTGCTTCACACTTGCTAGGCAAGTGTTCTATCACTGAGCCCCAGCCTCAGCCCCAAGAGACATCTTAAAGAAATCCTTCAACTCTGGTCAGCACTTGTGGATCCAGGCCAGTGCGGAGGAATCTGAGTAGCACTGTTTTGGAGATGGGCTGTGGCAGGAAAGGAAAGGAGGCTCCAGAATTTAGCTTCCTGGAAGGAACTGGCAGCCTAAGCCCCAGTTGCAAGAATCACTGGACTTGGGTGGCTGACGTTCCAAACTGCATTGCAAGTAAAGTTGGTTAGAGGCTAGTGGGACATAACTAGCTATCACATTTCCCACTGAATGATGTCTACTTTTAGAGATCCCTATGAGCATAGAGCTTGGTAGAAGTTATTATTGCTGAAATAAAATTGGGGGCTGGGGTTGTGGCTCAGTGGTAGAGCACTTGCCTTGAATGTGTGAGGCACTGGGTTCAACTCTCAGCACCACATATAAATAAAACATAAAGGTCCATCAACAACTAAAATAAATACATTTTTTTAAAAAAATTGGACTTCAAAAATATTAAGGGGACCAGATAGCAAACCTTGTATTACAGACTCAACATAGTGTTTACACTGTGTAGGAGGCACCCTTAACTATATAGTCATAACTTCCTGTGGATAATGTGCAACATTATGTTGAATGTGCATAAAATATTCTATAAATGCACTTAATTTGAAGAATTAAGTAAATTTGGTGCAAAGCATGATGTTGGGCATATGGGGGGTGTCAATAAACTTGTTTTAGAACATGTTTCCCATCACACAGATTTGGAACCCCCCATAATAGGGATTAAACTAAGGGGTGCTCCATTACTGAGCTACATCTGCAGTCCTTTATTTGTTTATTTATTTATTGGTACTAGGGAATGAATCCAGGTCACTTAACCACTGACCCACATCCTCAGCCCATTTTAATATTTTATTTAGAGATGGGGTCTTGCTGAGTTACTTAGGGCTTCTCTAAATTGCTGGGGCTGGGTATGAACTGGAGATGCTCTTTAGCCTCCAGAACCACTGGGATTACAGGCATTTGCCACTGCAGCCGGCCTATTTTTATTTTTTGTTTTGAGATAGGGTCTTTTAAAGTTGCTGAGGCAGGCTGGCCTCAAACTTAGGATCCTCTTGCCTCATCCTCCTGTGTAGCTGGGATTACAGGTGTGCATAGATTTGGGGGTGTTTTGTAGACACAGATAAGTACAAAATCTCTGTTAAGTTAGTATATCATTCAGTACAATCAATCCACTTGGGAACTGGGATGGCAGGGGCCAGAAACTAAGAATTTGACAAGTGACTTTTATTGCAGTTTTCTTTTTAGGTACTGGGGATTAAACCCAGAGGCATTCACACCATAGGTCTACATCAGTATCCCTTTTTATTTTTTAAGACAGGGACTTACTAAGTTGCCCAAGGTAGGCTCAAACTTGTGATCCTCCTACCTCAGCCTCCAGAGTAGCTGGGATTATAGCTCTGTGACACCACAGAGCTAGAACACTTGCCTAGCATGCACAAGGTAATCTAGCCAGACCAGTATTCTTGAGCCAGTTATTTGAAGGGAACAATCTAGTTATAATGAGAGTCTGGACGATTACATTGAGGTAGGCAGAAGGAACAAGTTTGTCCCAATTCTGTTTCTGTATGAACCCAGACATCTATACATAGCTTTTGTAGTTACACGAGAGAAAGTCGTGCAGTTAAGGCCCCTTGAACTTTTAAAACAAAGAAGGCACACCTCCCAGAACAACAAAACTGAATTCAATGTAGTATTGGGAACCCTAGCTGATATATACCTATGCTGGGCTCAGTTTGCCACCTCAAAGCTACCCAGCAACCTCAGATACTATAGCCACAATTATGGGTTCTTCAAAGTGGGCTTGCCCTGGGGGGTCAGAAAGACCAAAAGACAGCTGTCCTTCAGGAACCAGGTCACTCTGCTTCAGTACAACAGTTAGAGCTCTGAAGACTCCACCACAGCTCCTCAGCCCTTTGGACAGCTCTGTCCAGACAAGAATCTCAGAAATGACTGTCAACACTTTTTGGAGGCCACTCAGTTAACAGATGGAGTCTAGGAGCCAGCAGCCACCTTCAGGTCACTAAGATATTACAAGTGGGAGCACCTTTCAACCATGTGGGACTGCAATATCAGGAGAAAGACTAGGGAGTGTGGCTGGGCCGGGTGACTACAATCAAGATCCAGAGAAATGTTTCTTTGCACCGGAGAATTAACTAGAATTCTTTCATCCTGGGATCTGGTGGCAGGAATTACCTAGAGAGCTTTAGGGATACTGGGGTTAGCTTGCTGAGGTCTGATGAGCGCCTCTTTCCAGTACTGTTTTGGAGGCTCAGTACCAGCAGCCCCTCCGGGGTTAGACTGACAGTTCGCCAGTTCCAGAGCATCTGCGACAGTGCTGATCTCAGACCTGCAGGTGTTTTCTATTTACTGTCAGATGGACCCGCCTCGGTTCCACCGTAGCATGTGCTGTTGAGGTCGGTGAAAACAGTTCTCCCACGGTAGCAGAGACAAGTGCAAAGTGGACTGGGGAACGCGGCCCTGGATCCACGTGGGTGGTCTCGCGACCTTGCTCCGGTCTCGGGGCTGCTGCCAGCCGGAGCTGAGCGCGGCAGTAGCACGGATCACCCACCCCCGCGCGCGCGAGCCCCCAAGCGCGCTTCTCCGCGTGCGCGCGCCGTCCCGTCTGCGGCTGGAGCGCGCTCTCGCTGCGAGCCCGAGTCGTCCCATCTGATTCACGCAGAGCGCGGTTCCCTGCAGCAGAGACTCCGGCCGGTGCACTGTGGCGGTTTTGCCCGAAGAGAACGATTTGAAATCGTTTTTTTTCCCTTCTTTCCCAGCTCCTCTGTTGTGCGTATTTTCTTTGCTATTTGCAGAGCAGTTAGTTCTCTGTTGCACTCTGCTTGCTTTCCCCGTGTTTCTTTTTCGTTCAGTACAGAATGTTTTTTGGGAAACATTTCCTCAACTGATATACTTTAGGGTGTAGTCGGCCCATAAATAAAGCAATCACGGCATTCGGTGGAGTCAGCTGGCTACCCCGGGGGAAAGAGGAAAAGCTTGATTTTTCCTTCTTGTTCCAATGAAGCTGGAACTCAGAGCTCTTGCCAGGCCCCTGGGAGTTCGGAGGGAAATTCCAGTCCGAAAGCCTAAGAAAGCATTTCAAGACAAGGCACAGGTCCTTCAGCAGCCAGAGGAAAGGAAGAAGGGCATGATTGCCATCAGACTAGTAACCACAGGCCACTGGAAATCACTTCCCTCTAGAACTTGACTTTTAGGGTTAATTCAATGTAGTCTTGCGGTAAAATTAACAAGTTTGTGACTTTTTTTTTTTTTTTTTAATGAAAAAGAGCTTTATGGGCTGGGGACATAGCTCAATGGTAGAACACTTGCTAGCATGCTCAAGGCCTTGGCTTCAAACTCCAACACCCACCCTCCCCACACCCCACCCCAAAAGCTATATGTACTTATTTCTGTTTATGAAGACAAGACATGCTCATTATTAGGAAAAAAAAAGAAGAAGAAGAAGAAGAAGAAAGAAACATTGGCTTAACTTCTAATTGTTTTCTTCAATTTGTTTCCTTGCATAACTTTCTTTTGCTGGGAAAATAAATAAAAATATTTTGACAGTATCTATAATGAATGCAACACCATAATGCCCTGTAACTGGAAATGTCACAAATATTGGAAAAGTCTCTGTTAAGATAATTTGACCAATGGACACTCAGTGTGATTAACTGGTTTCAGATTGTTCAAATTTGAAGTTATTATGTTTGCTTAAAAATTACCAGAAAATGTTAAGCTTGAAATTGATAGATTATGAATTTTCTGGCTGTTCTAGGCTAATACAATAAAGTCCCCAAACAACGGATGTAATAAATAATCTATATTGAAATGTCTGTTTGCTTTTTGTTTTGAACTGTAAGAAAGATAAATGTGTGATATATGCATTGGCTTATTTTATGTGCATTTAATAAACACAATAGGAGAAACAAAGATTTAAAACACCAAATCCATCAATGAAGTTGAATTACATGTATTATTGTAGTAGCAGAATAATAACCAGATGATAAATAGGCAACTTTCTACTTACCAATAGGTGTAAGTCCATGCTTTAGAGATTCTGGTAAATCCCCAGGATCCAAATTAGAAGACATTTTTAGTGAAATTATAGGCAGTCCTTTGGCTTAAGGCAGAAATCATCGAGCCCAAGAAAAAGTGCAGTTTGTCATACTTTGTGACCTTGGGAAGGACACATCAGACTACAGTAGTCCTTATTCCCTTAGTGAAAGTTAAGAAAAAAGGAAAAAAAAAATCCAGAATTCAGAAAGTTACAAGCAGGTCTTTCCCTGGACTCTGTACTTTTTCCAACATTAGTGACCCGCTGTAAACCATGTATCCAGTTTCATGATGGTTTCTAATCAGAAGAATGGAAACTTTCGATAGGCTTTGACTGATCACATGACTCCATGCAGGTTGATAAGAGGACCCTGTTATAAAGTGACAGCAAAAGAGATAAGAACTCTTGGCAGATAATGGCAAAGAAATGATTAACTCAGAAGAGGAGGGGTGATATGCTGCACAGAGAGTGGAAAGTTGTAAAACTGAAGGGTCAGAAGATCATACTTAGTGGATAAAACTCCAAACCAGCTTAAATCCACTAACTAAGCTTAGGCTTGTGACATACCCTCTTGATGTCATCGCTTCTTTGCAGAGCTCTTCTGACCTCTGTAAATACATTTTAGGTGATAACATTGGTAGACATTAATTCTTTAAGTGATGACTGCAAATATGATCGACACTTTGAAACACTACAGGTAGCATTTTTAAGCTTATGGTCATTTATTTATTCATGTCTTGTTAACTTTTTTAAAAAAAAGTCATTCTTACTCATTAGATGGGGAGTTAATCTTAGCATGTTTGTAGCTAGATCATTTGGTTAAAAGGGCAATCTATATTTTTTTTAACCCCATTATAAAGTAAAGCTTATACTTTGAGAGAAATGCTGGCAAAATGAAGACTTTGCAGGACATTTTCTTTTCCTTTTTTTTTTTTTTTCTTTTTTCCAGTACCAGGGATTGAACCCAGGGGCACTACACCGCTGAGATACATCTCAAGATAAGGTTTCACTATGTTGCCCGGGCTCGCCTTGTACTGCTACCCTCCTGCCTCAGCGTCCTAAGTAGCTGGGATTACAGGTGTGCACCACCATGCCCAGCCAAAATCTGGATTATTAGAGCAATGCACATTGTGGGCCAGTTTGTTGTTTTTCTTGTTTGTTTTGAGTTTGTCCCTCTCCCCTCTGCTTCATGGCCAGAGATTCTATTTGGAAAAACCAAAATGTTTCTGTAGTTTTTTTTTTTCCCCGTTTAAAATTGTATTCTTTTAAGTATTAGATTTGACTGCAAATAACAGAAAAACCAGAGCAATTATGTTCTAAACAAGAATGCTTATTTCTCTTTTACAAAGGAGGTGCAGAGACAGGCATGGTGTGGAGGGGCATGCCTCTAATCCCAGTGATTTGGTTGGCTGAGGCAGGAGGATGGTAAATTCAAGACCAGCCTCAGCAATTTAAACAAGACCCTGTCTCAAAATAACAAGGGCTGGGGATATAGGTCAGGGTAAAGTGCCCCTGGGTTCAATTCCCAGAACCAAAACAAACAAACTAAAAACCAAAACCCAAAACAACAACAACAACAACAAATCAGAGGTAGGCAATTTAGCCATGGAAAATGATTCTACAAAGTTGTCTGGGACCTGAGTTCCTTCCATTTTAGTAGTCTTTCTTTTCACTATTAGGAAACAGGAGGAGGAGGAGAGGAGGTCTGCTCTTTTTTAGGCCCACTTTCTCAAAGCAGCATGTAAACACTTTGCTTACAGAAGACTAGGTAGAACTTAGAACCACACCTACATTTAGATGCAAAGGAGGGTCCAAAGGGAAGTATTTTAGTTGAGTAGTTAAACATGTATTCCAATAAAAAAAGATTGTGTGATTACAGTAATTCTGGTTGGTTCTTTGCTACTATGTCTTTGAACAATCAAAAAATAACATGACACATTACTAGAAATTTACCCATATACATGATACAGGACATATAACTCTGAGAAATAATTGTTCTCTTAAAAATTACTCAGGACTCAAAAAAGTTTTTGTTTATGTGAATTATATCTATTCATATTTACTGTGTTAGAAGTTAAATTTGAAGATGCTAGGGGCGTTATTCAGTGGTAGAGCACATGCTTAGCATGTACAATGCCTGGGATTTAATCCCCTGTACCCCAAAAGGGAGAGAGAGACAGAGACAGAGAGAGGGAGAGAAGAAAACAGACAAAAAGAAAAATAGAAAAGAACTTAAAATTGAGAAACTTTAAAATATTTATTGCTTATAAATTTTTTTATTTTACTTATAGAAAACAATAGCTGGGTGTGGTAGTGCATGTCTGTAATTCCAGAGGTCTGGGAGGCTGAGGCAGGAGGATTGTGAGTTCAAAGCCAGCCTCAGCAACTTATGGAGGCCCTAAGCAACTCAGTGAGATCCTATATCAAAATAAAAAATAAAAATCAGGCTGAGGATATGACTCAGTGGTTAAGTGTCCCTGGGTTCAACCCCTGGTAGAAAGAAAGGAAGGAAGGAAGAAAACAAGAGCAAACCTATTATATATTAGTACAAATAGCATATGAAGTTCAAAAGGGAGGAGTATTATAATAGCTTTTCCTGATAATCAGGGATTTTTTTATACCAAAATTCCCCAAGTTGTATCATTTTAAAGATTATTTGAAATATGGTCTCTGAAACCATATCAGTGAACTTTATTACATTAAAATTCATTGGTCTATTTTGTGCTCCAAATCCATCTTTTACATGTGCATGGTTTTGTAACATCATACATTAATAATTTGGAAGATAGAAGTTCCTTGAGTTTTGCAGATTTTTCCAAATGTTGATGCATTTCATCATACAAAATTAAGAAATTCACCAGACACAGGGGCACAGGCCTGTAATTCCAGAGATTTGGGAGGCTGAGGCAAGAGGATCTCAAGTTCAAAGCTGACCTCAGCAGCTTAATGAGGCCCTAAGCAACTTAGCAAGACCCTGTTTCAAAATAAAAAATAAAAGGACTGGGGATGTGGCTCAGTGGGAAAAATGCCCCTGAGTTCAACCCCCAGTGCCAAAATAAATAAATAAATAAAAATAAACAAATATTTAAAAAAATAAAAAATCATATTCACTAATATCACCACTGATCTCATCAGAGTCCCAAACACTGGGAAGATCTCAAAATCATAGTGGCAGATACAAGTTTTCCAAGATCCAAAAGCTCGAATTTTATCATCCAAAAGCACTGTCAGAGCCGGCCTATTATCCCAAACTACTGAGAAGACTGAGGCAACAGGATCTCAAGTTCAAGGCCAGCCTGGGCAACTTAGTGAATACCTGTATATAATATCTGTATCCAAATAAATAAATAAATAAAAGAAAAAAGAAAAGAAAGGAAGGAAGGAAGGAAGGAAGGAAGGAAGGAAGGAAGGAAGGAAGGAAGGAAGGAAGGAAGGGGGATGTAGCTCAGTGATAGAGGGCCCCTGAGTTTAGTGTCCAGTAAAACACACACACACAGTGCCATTAATTTTTTCCTTAAAGTAATAGGTTCATGTCACTTATGTTTTAGAAAATGTCTCCAAGTACCCATATTTGAGTGACCACACTTTATGAGTCTTTTATCCCTCCCTCCCTCCCTCCCTTCCTTCCTTCCTTCCTTCCTTTGCAGTACAAGGGATTGAACTCAGGGCTTCCTACATGCTAGGCATGTATTCTACTCCTGAGCTACATCCCAGCCCTGATCATCCATTCTCTCTCTCTCTCTCTCTCTCTCTCTCTCTCTCTCTCTCTCTCTCTCTCTCTTTGCATCCAGGGGTGCTTAACTACTGAAACACACCCCCAATCTTCTTTTGTATTTTATTTAGAGACAGGGTCTCTGAGTTGCTTAGTGCCTCTTTTTTTTTTTTCTTTTTTCTTTTTTTTTGCTGAGACTGGCTTTGAACTCGCGATCCTCCTACCTCAGCCTCCTGAGCCACTGGGATTACAGAGGTAAGCGACTGCGCCCAGCTTGGTCAGTCACTCTTAAAATGTTCAAATGCTATTGCATGAAAACAGCAGTGAGATCTGCTCACAGCTCAAACAACTGTGTCAGTGATTTTCTTAGAGGCAGCCATCATGCTTGGCTGTAATCATTCAATGATACTGAAGAGCTTTGAAGGACAATGGAAGGCAATGTAACTAGGGAAAAATTTAATTCTTATGGTTTAGCTTGATGAGAGTGTGTTTTGCTTTATAAAATAACTGTTCTTGAAGCGTAGTGTATTAATTTTGGAAAACCACATCTCTATTTTGAATGCACTTGCTGATGTTCTAGTTAGAGAACATGACATTTAGGATTTTTATAATACATAATTGGTCTGTGTTTAAAATAAACTCTCATCTTTATATTTTTTGAAATTGGGGTAAGAAATCAGAATCGGATTAAATGGATTGCATCATCTTTGTTAAAGATTGTGAGTCATTTTTTCCTCCTAGGATGTTGAAAGGAGGCATATTGAGATTTCTTTGTTTACGGAAACTTTACCCAGTCTTATTAGGGTCAGTGTCCTGCCATGCTGCTCATGCTCAGAAGAGATTTGCAGAACATGGGTAGCTGGATTCTTACCACCCAAACCCACCATTTTGGCCACTATTATGGCTTTTCACCTCTTTGCAATAAATGTCAAGATTAAAAATGCACCTGACCATACCTAAGAGATGCCTTCTTTGTTGCTTGTAAGACTAATTCCTGGATAAACAGTTTTGTTTATTTACTTTAGGACAAAATGTTAGCAAACTTCAGAATTTTCCTTTGACTTTTGAATCTGTTGATAGAAGGACTTGGGGCTTGTTGGGGGCAATACTAAAACAAATGTACCCCTACCCCAGGACCCAAAGCTGAATGAACAGGAAAGTAGCTGTCTATCCCCTTAAGGAACACATTATAATGCAATTACCTTAGTTTAAATTGCAATGTTAGTGAGCTTAAAGTTTTAATTCCTATGCAGGAAAAAGTTTTTCAAAGGAAAAAAACTATAGTATTTGTAAGATCAGAGAGACACCTACTAGCTCTGGCCAGGACCCCTGAAATTATGCCTTAATTAGGAAGGGATCAGTGTGTGATGCTTATTGTGCAGTTAATAAAGAGGGAAGGGACTTTTCCTAAAATTTCATATAGATAAGGATACTGGATAAATTAGAACATACATTTATGCTATTACATCTACCGATGTTAAATTTAAATTTTTTTTTTTTTTTTTTGGTACTGGGGATTGAACCCGGGATGCTTTATCACGGAGCCACATTTTCAGCCCTTTTTACTTTTTATTT